TTTAGAATTATATATCAAGCCTTTCATTGCGAAATAATGAATATATATTTAGATTAATGGACCTCATTAAGATGAGAAATTTAGAATAAACTAAAGCTCAGCCATAGCAATTCATGCTCAATAGGATGGGATAAAGTGAGAGTCCAAAATCTCTACAGTACAATTTAGGGAGAGGGGTTTTGTTTATCGAACCAGCTGAGAAAGTGCTCTATAGGGATGGTTCAACACATGTTCCGTACACCTTGAAAATTATATTATTCTTATGTCAAATGAGAAAGAAAAACGAGAACTTTTAAGACTGAGTTTTTGCTAGTTGTGTTGTTACAGCTGGTGAGGCGATTATGATCAAGAACTTGTGCTCAAAATTCGATCTGCACAATAATCTCAAAATTCTATTTCAATTCAAGCAAATCTCAACATTCTAACAAATTACTTATTATAACTATCAGAACATTCGTCTTATTTCCCATCTAATTGTATTTGATCAATAACACTCATATTGACTTTTATTCAAATATCTAGTTGTGTGAGTAACTTGATATGATTATGAGCAATAATTTGTGCTTGAAACGTCATCAGTTAATATTACTGTGTAACACTGTGTGATTTATCAAAATAAAATCTTATCCATAATGGAGTTGCACTCTACCACAGTGCCCAAGTTTTATACTTATATGCACAATAAAGAAACTAATATGAAATTAAACGCCACTACACTGTCAAAATACCCACTACAGTCCTACAGGAGGTCAATTGCGAGCCCTAATAGCTCAGTGGTAACGTCTCTGACTGCAGGCGGCACTGGGTTTGAATATCAGAAAAGACATGAATTCCTTCAAGGTTGAAGGTAGGCCTTGCTTACTGGTTAATGCCAACTAGCACAAAACCTAGGTTGAAGGTTTCCTGTGGCCAGTTCCCTCCAACTATCTAATATCATCAAATTAATGTGCACTATGATGGTGAGCTACCTAGAATGGTGGCCTCACTGACGGAATTCAGTCTGCACCAAAGAAAGGACTCGACACGTTACACTAGTTACTAGTGTCCAACCAAAACACTAAGTTTTCCACATACTGTAATACTAAGATACAGGTTGATTATACAGATTTTCGTTATTTTGTTAGTATAAAGTTAACAAAGAATCATATTGTTTCGTTAAGTCGTAAAAGTCATTCCTAAAATGAATTATGAATGTGTTTGTCCTTCCGATGAGTAGGAAGCCATCAGTAAAATGATCCATAAAACCCTATTAGTATAACTATTTGTACTACTAATCTGGTATAATATCTGTTTACATAATTTAGCTGTATAGTAAATAGTCGATTTACCATTCATTTTCACTGCCTATAACTGTATGTTCCTAGATAAAGTGCTTAACGATTTTGGTGAAATAGGGGGGCAGTTAGACCAGGATTAAAATATTTTTTAACAACGTAATATCAATGAAGAAATGCTTTTATTATTTCACTGACTGGATCAAACTCAAGTTTTAGTCATCAGCCTACTTCAGTTAGAGAACCACTGGAAACCACAGAGTACTGAATACCTGTTCCATTCTAGTTTGTGACGTTTGAGCATTGAGTACCCACCAACCTAATGCTAGGGATGGAACACAGAACCTTCAGGTTTTGAGGCGAACTTGTTGACTATTCAGCTACTGATAAGGAATTAAACACACACTTCTCGAAATACTGTGCAACCATCAGTGGAGATAAAACAAACAGTGGTGCAGAATAATACGGATCCATTTCATTTTTTCGGTTCTTATCAGCTGCATATAACCTACAGTACTTAAAAAACCCGATTATAATGCCATCCTAATATACACTTCGTTTATCATCATGAATCAGACCTCCAGTAAGGATTGCTGTAAGAAAGACAGTGGAACAAAACATAAGGATAGAATTACTTCAAATTATGAGTACATATATAAATATATGTATATTATTTCATAAGAGTAAAGTTTCGCCTAAGCGATGAGCAATATTTTATATCAGGGTGGTGACAAGTCGGTGATAATATAGTAATCAGAAATAATAAAAAAAACCAACCAACTAGAACTCAGAAGACAGGAAAATCAAAGTGTGGTCTGTACGAATTCGAATGAAAAGGCGATCACGAAATACAGTGAGTACAATTCATAGGATCAAAAATCAAGTCTAATATGAAAGTCAAGTGAAAGACTGTGGAGAGTGGAGAAAAAAGCTGGTGATGTCAGAAGACAAAGAGTTCCACAGAGGATTCCTGTTGAACAGATAAGTCAAGTTTCAGTGGTTTTATTGCATTAGCTTTAGCGAACCGAAGATGACTTTGATTGTTTTATCTGTTAATTATTTTAAATGCTACCAAAGCATCCACTCGATATCCTGTGTCTAACAGATGTTTGTTAACTGATGTGTTCAAACTATTCGGTCAATTTAATTGAAGGCTCTTTGGTTCATGTTCAAAGAATCTGACATAGGCCCATATTTCCGTTCACCCGGTTTAAGTGCTCCCGTAGTAGCACATGAATTGATATACACAGTCGGAGGTATTATATAAGGGGTGTTTGTCAATTTCAATGATGAGAATTGACGAAATACAATTGATCCATATAATTCTGCACCGATGTTTGTTCTGTCTCTGTTCAAACCGATGGGGGGAATTCATTTGTTATCTAACTTGCATAATATCACTGGATTTGGAAAGATTTAATTCGATTCCCTGTCGTATTCAGTCACAAATCTATCCCAATCATGAAAACACGGAGACAAAAATATTCATTCCAAAATAATACGGAAACCCTTGGCAGTTTTCGCATTCACGACATTGAAAGGGTTCCAGTCAAGGAGTATCAGAAATAGTAATTGATGGTTTTAAAATCATTGTATTCTACTAAATTTTAGAAAAATCTGCATATTTGGTTAATAACTACTTAGCATTTTTTAATTTTGATCCAGGCAATTTTATTTAAGTCTCAATGAGAACGTGTTCATTATATTGAGGATGTAGGTAATTCCAGGTGACAAGTCCAAAATAAGACAAAATGAGTATCATGGGTTCCTGTGCTAGTCCTTTCCAACTGAATAACTTAATTATTCACGTTATGATAATTATTCTTCCCTTCGATTTCGAGGGGAACATTGGACGTCAGCAACACGTCGTTATTTAACTCTATTCACTCTAGCCCTCTCTAGCTGGCTGCACCACATCGCATCTACTCCTCGTTCAGCCCCATCTATGTCATCTATCTCGGACACATGCCTGACTCATCATTTCCCATTCGCATTCCAGTCGATGGCCTGGCGCGCGAACTCAATCGACGGTCTTTTTAGCTTATATTGAATCCATCTCCATTTCCTTCCAACTATATTTTGAGTTATAGATAATAATAATAATAATAATAATAGTATATTCTGATTTTTGTACATGAGAGACGCCAGTTTACAGGCATCATCAATTCGATAAATTACACATACTATTAGTAAGTATAGTTAGTAGTGATAATATGATAATGTACATATTTATTCCTACAAATGTAGGACACACAAGTTGTTTGGGATTGGATAAGTATTATTTAAGTTACATGTTTAAATTACATGATTTACGGTTAAATAACATGGTTGCTGTCATTTTATCTTCATTTTGTGGGAAAAATCTGATAACTAGTGATTCAATGGACCACATCAAGAAATATAGAGATATTGACTTTGCATTAACAAAAAAAACCCAAGTATGCTTTGGATGGATTACAGATACTTGGGAAAATAAATAAAGCTTGAGGTTAATTCCCTCATAAAACAATAAAATGCGTTTTACAATAATATATTTCCACTTTATGCACATGAGGGACTCCAGTTGACAGGCATCATCAATATGGTAATAATGCACACATGGAGTAAACATGTTTAAAATTTTTCACTAACACAAGATATATATACGAGGGAAGATAATGGAATATTGACCGTAAGTACACTCTGCATATGTTTAAACAGTTTATATGGCATACTACTAGGTAAAATTATTGTTTAAATTTGTTGAAAATGAGCGAAACAACTGAGTGTTGCGTTACATTCCATCGATATGATAGGCTACTCACAAAAGTATAAAAATGGCTTTTGTTGTTTGACTCGTTCCCAGAGTTTCTTGATGCTAATTTCTTCTAACCATCCATTTTTTCAGTATCAATCCAGTGAAGGCAGCTGTCGATAAAAATCTGAAGCCTGCTAAAAACGACGTTGGTGAAGCACCAGGTCACTTAATCATATAGAAGGACTGAATGACTCGACATTAGTGTCTAAAATCCGAATTTCGGTCTTGATGCTGAGTACAGAAGATTCCCACACTAGTTTCACATTGTTGAAGGTCTGTCCCGCCTCTCTAGTGATACCTGGCTTTGAAATGTTCATCCATCCATACAGCCATACTGCAGATGAAACGATGCTACTTAGATCTGTGAAAGATCTGACCCCATTCAAACTATTCACATGTTTATTATGTATGTGATTTATGCAGTAACAGATGTAACATTTTACTATTTGACATGATCTTTATTTCATAACTTATTGTCTCTACCCCACCCTCCCGTTTACTTAGCTTTTCAACGACATAACATACACTCATTTTTACACCCCACCAACCTCGTTGTTCATAATTCTCTAAATTAATAGATCTTGTTGACAGACAAACTAATCAGGAAATAAGCAACTATGCTGATTGGTTAATTAATTTACTTTAATCGTGTATATAAATAAATGCATATCACATATGAGACTATGCTGGTCAATTAGTGTTTAGTATAAAGCTTTGATTTGTTTTTTCAAATCTGTACTACTTACTTGTGAGTAGTGTAGTAATTTGTGATAAAAATTGCTATGCTTATTGTGTATAATCGAATACAATCTTGTCAAGATTGAAATATACATACACATCTTAAAGAGGATAAATAGTTCAATTGATAGAAGGCATTGTGTAATCAACTGAAAAGGTCTCTACTTATCTTCGTACTTATTGATTGAATCATGAATACAGCGACGAATGCAAATTATCATTATGGTTATGATCAAGAAGCAGATAATGTTAAGGCAGAAACAGTTTCACCGAAAAAGGACAGGTAAAGTGGAAACAAAAAATTTATTTACTCGTTTTCATGTTTAATTATTTTATTGTTTATTTACTTATTTCCTTCCTATGACACAAAAATATTCAATATTTGTAGGTGAACAGTCTTTCCTTATAGATATTTTAACACTGCAAAGATTCACTGACAGTTGTCATAAGTGAGGCCTTGTATATTATTGATTGATTAAGATAGGTAGTTGGATAACACTCAAATCAACTAATCAGGATGAAAATCTGCAACCTCTTGGACTCTTGTAGAGTGGAATGGACATGTCCGGCTGAAGCCGTGTGTTTCACATAAAACCATTATTATTATTATTGTTTCCTTTAGTTCCTAGAGGAACATAGGGATTCAGCCGTGCGTCTCCATTGCGTTCTGTTCTCTGCTAGAGTCTTCACCTGGCTCCAAGTCTGCCCACATGCTTTCATCTCCTCTTCACATGACCTTCTACAAGTCATCCTTGGACGACCAACTCGCCACTTCCCTTTCGGGTTCCACTCGAGCAATGGCTTGTCTAGTGATGTCACTTGATGGTTTCCTCAGAGTATGTCCAATCCATCTCCATTTCTTCCTGCCTATTTGTTTCACAATCGGTTCCTGCTGTGTTGGTTCGTTCATCGCCAGAGATCTCTGTTGCTGATCCTTTCTAACCGGCCATCTGATCTTAAGTATTGAGCGAAGACAACTGTTAATGAAGGTCTGTAGTTTGTTTGAGATGCTCTTCATGACGCGCAGTGCATGTTTCTGACCCGTATAGTAGCAGTGACTGACTTCACATTGGAGTTGAAAATCCGGATGTTATTTTTGATGCTGAGTGTTGTTGACCTCCACATAGACTTGAGAGTAGTGAAAGCCTGTCTTGCCTTCCCGATTCTTGCTTTGATATCCCCATAAGTTCCGCCTGTAGTTGAAACGATGCTTCTCAGGTCGATAACTGGGGGTTGTTTCTTTCAGGTTACTTCCATTTATTCCGATTGTTGTCTTTTATTGTTGTTGTTTCTCTTGGTAGTGTTTCCTAGGAATCTTCCTCACCTCTATTTTCTCAATGTTCACCTGAAGTCCTATCTTTGATTCTTCTTCAACCAACTTGTTGCTTTTCACTTGCATATCTTCCAGTTTGTGGGAAATCAAACATATATCATCGGCGAAGTCCAGATCCTCCAGGTATTTTTGTGTGAGTCCATTTTATAACAACACATTTAAGCGAACAATAGTGTTTTCAATTAGATCTCATCAGGCTTAACTCTAATATATATGTTTACAAATAAAAATTCAAATATAAACCAATCATGGTGTTTTGTCTGTAGGATAATACGATGGTGAATATCAATTGTGCAATTAGTCATAATAGTAGTAATAATAATAATAATAGTAATAGTAATAATAAAAGTGGTCTTATCAATAATAAGGATGAAAAAGTGAGGCAATCTGTGATAACACGAATAATGAAAAACAGCATGATTAAACAAACAACTGTTCATGTGGAAGTAGTCGATAAAGGCTAGTAAAAACAAATGAACCGACTAAGCAATGCTGGATTGTAAGGGAAGGAAATGAAACATGTTTATAATGAAGATAAGATTAAGGGATGATAAGAAAGGGGTTGAAAATACAAACAAAGGGTGGTTTAGAAGTTATTAGTTGGTTACGTCTTAATAGGCCAAGGGAGGGATAATGGCTGTACGAACTTTTTTTGAATACATAGTTTAGGTTTAATAGTTCGAATGCCTATCGCCTCAGCTGTGTGTAGTAGACGAATACGAAGTCTATTGGAAAGATTTGGTGGGATACGATGAATCACTTTGAAGGCTCTCGTTTTCTCGATTACATGACCACTATCAATTAAGTGTGACAAAATTGAGCTGCGAACTGTTTTAGTCTGTCCTTTGCCAAACCACGATGGCAGATGTTCACTAACACGTTGGCTAAGCTGTCTAGTAGTACGCCCAATATAACTGTCACCGCAGGTGCAGTTGAATTGATAAATACACATAGATGTGGCAAAACTATCAAGCTTATCCTTTGTTTGCGTCCCAATCATTCGTCGGCTAGAGAATGACAAACATAGGTGTGCTGCATAAAATGTTCTTCGTATACTCCTTGAAAGTCTTTGGAATAGAATCTCACTTGATAAGTCCATTTTATGCCTGTTTCTTCATTGCACGCTGTTTGTTGCATTATCCAGTATACTGCAATCAGGAAAATCATTGGCGATAGTAGACAGTAGAATAATAATAATAATGATTCATACCCACGTATATAACACTGTTTAGGTGTCATACTTAAATCGCTTGAAGGCCCTAGAATTTAAAAAGGCTTAAAGCGTGTTTATGCTTTCAAAGCTTATTTGTTATTACATTGAACTTGCCCTGATAAGGCAATCGTTAAACTAAGACTTATTGACACAGTAATATTTCCTCTCTGCCTTTTTTTTTGCTTGTTTTACCTTCATTTGTGATTATTTTTGCCTCTAAATAAACATTCTGATCTAGATTAATTCGACTTCAAGCTTTTGTAATTTGTTAACTTTTACACACAAATACTGTATGACGAGTACATATATAGAAAAATATTGTTTTCTCAGCATCAAAAATAAGATCCGGATTTTCAACTCAAATGTGAAGTCAGTTGGTGTTACTATACGGATCAGAGACTTGGCCAGTGCGTCATGAAGAGCATCTCAAACAAACTACAGACCTTCATTAACAGTTGTCTTCGCTCAATTCTACTCAAGATCACATGGCCGGCCAGAAAAGATCAGCAACAGGGAGGGATCTCTGGGAGCGAACCAACACAAGAGGAACCGATTGTGAAACAAATAGGCAGGAAGAAATGGAGATGGATTGGACATACTCTGAGAAAACAACCCAGCAAGTGACACCACTAGACAAGCCATTGCTCCAGTGGAACCCGACCGAATGGGAAGTGGCGAGTTGTTCGTCAGTGCGAGGGTGACTTGGAGGAGGTCATGTGAAGAGGAGATGAAAGCGTGTGGGCAGACTTGAAGCCAGGTGAAGACTCTAGCAGAGAACCGAACGCAATGGAGACGCACGGCTGAAGCTCTATGTTCCTGTAGGAAATAAAGGAAACAATAATAATAATTGTTTTCAATTAGATCTCATCAGCCTTAACTCTAATATACATCACTTTTCAAATATAAACCAATCATTATGTTTTATCAACAAGATAATAAAATGGTGCATATAAATTGTGCAATTAGTCATAATGGTTGTAATGATAATAAGAATGATGGTTCTATCAATAATAAGAATGAAAAAGTGAGCCGATCTGTGATAACAAGAATAACGAAAAACAGCATGATTAAACAAACAACTGTTCACGTAAGCGTAGTAGTCGATAAAGGCTAAGAAAAACAAATGAACCGATTACGCAATGCTAGATTGTAAGGGAAGTAAATTAAATAAGTTTTTCATTTTAATAAATGTTTTTTGTATTGCCCAATGAATGAAAAACAAAACGATATTGTTGTTTTTACTGACGTTTTGCTATTTAATGCTGCAGCTAATAGCTTTATCAAAGTATTATTAAACCAGAATTTACAAGATCTCAGCTTACCTACAACAAATTAATCATCGTTCCTCAGCATGGGGTCATTTTTCCGTTGTCAAATCGGCCAATCGGTAAACATAACAAAACCAAGTGTTGATTGTTGGATTTGATAAGTGTGTAAAATTATACAAGCAGCGTGTGTTTACATAATGAAATTGCTTTTCACATTCGTGTTGATTTTGTCACTTCATGGGGAGGGAGGTGTTGTAACCAGGTCAGATTCTGTTTTAGTCCATCATTCCTATTCAGACAATTTGGATTCCACTTGACATGACGTGCTTCTGATATTAGACGTTCTTTGTGATTTCTGAAGTTTTTCTGGATTATTTCAATATTGTCAAAATCATTTTTGTGACCTGATTCCATAGCGTGTAGACGACCTATGGCTGATGATTTTTCAAGCTTTTCTAGTTCAGCTGGATTTCTCGGTGATCGAACAGAGACGGCTTTACGGTGTTCATTTCTTCTGATTTTGATTTCTCTCTGGTGATGTTTGTCTGATGTATATCGCATCACATTCCAAGCATTTTATTTTATAGACACAATAAGATAGAGAATCTTTAGGGATTTTGTCTTTTATGTGGACAAGGTTGTTTTGCAGTGTGTCTGATGTTTTGAAAAAAAGAAACTCTGATGTAGAGCGCATTGAGTAATCTTCTGATATCGTCTGACGTCAGTAAAAACAATATCGTTTTGATTTTCATACATTGGAAATACAGAAAAACCTTTATAATGATGAATATCATATACCCAATGACCAAATTTTTTCAAACTGTTAAAAGTGAACTTGGTTTGGACATATATGGAATACGTTTTTAACGAAAATGTAATAAGATTAAGGGGTGATAAGAGATGGGTTGAAAATATAAGTAAGGGGTATTGGAGAAGTCATTATGTCTTAATAGGTCAAGGTAGGGAAAATGACTGTACCAGCTTCTTCTGAATGCATAGTTGAGGTTTATTGGTGTTATTAGAAGACGGAGATTATCTGAAAAGTTATGTAATGTATTTTTGCTATACATTTCGAACAACCTGATCACACATTTACTTGTCAAGTCGATATATTTGAACAAAAATTAAGGGCAGTTAAATTAAAGAAAGTGACAAAAAAAGATTTAGAGAATTTTTAACACAACGTTTGGTAATCCAATCAAATAAAGATTACCAAGGTATATGATAGCGCAAATACATCACATGTTTCAGATAATCTCCCTCTCCTAATAACACTGTCCAAATTTATAAAAGGGACTTATGGTTTTAAATTAGCTTTAACAGTTCGAATGCCTATCGCCTCAGCTGTGTGCAATAGACGAATATGAAGTCTATTGGAAAAAGATTCGGTGGGTCAGAAATGTGGAAATATGCACTACACACGTTAAACAAATTGTCTCCTTATTATTTTGTTGAGATTCATAAAAAAGAAATCAACTGCGCTAAATGGAACTTCCGTCTTATTACTGTTACAGAATGAAATGAACCTTGAACACCTTGAACACAGTGTTCTCAATTTTCGTGTTTTTCTGTTTTTTTTCTTGTTTCTATTTCAGACCACCCACTCCTCATCCAATTCAATCAACGCTGAGTAAGTTCATCTTATTTCATTGTATTTTAAGTGAAGATAATTAATGCCACTGTATTTGTAATGCATCGACATATATTACTGAAATTCACGACAGATTTTCCAACAACAGGTAGCCCTTTACTGATCCAACCAGTATCAGGTATTCGGATGAAATATGTATGTTGAGTTTTCTGGAAATCAGATGGAATTAATTATTTTTAAGAAACACTTCAACATGAATGACATAAATTTGAGAACCACTGGTAATCTCACAAAGCACTAGTTCCCTTTTTCGTCCTAGTTTCAGACTTTGCAGCATTATGAGCTCATATTCACACAGACGGGATGGATGGGCCAAGGACCTTCAGGTTACAAGATGATCACAATCCCTTTTTATGCTTTTTCGTTCCCAGTGGAACATGAGGCTTCAAGCTAGAGACTTGAAGTTTCTGTAGCAGTGGTGGAGTGCGTTGGTGGCCGGGGGTTGAACCCCGGACCACCTGCGTGGTCTGCAAGCATTCTACCGCTGTGCCACCGACGCACAATGCTACTCATAAAGTCATCTGAATTCAGTGACCATGAATTTTGACTTTTGTCATGTCGTAATTCAGCATCACTGTCTTTCAGTGTCACCAGCGAGTATCTACCCTCACATCTGACGTGACTGATCTGAACGATTCGGTTTATTCATTAGAATTCCTCGAATTCCGTTCTGTGATGAATCATTTGTAAGCAGTTGGCTAATTTCCAGGTGTTGCTTTGTACGGACGTGATTGATTTCAGTAGTATATTTCATCGTGTAATAGTTTTGGGTATTCAATAATAAGGATTGAAGAAAATACTGACTTTCTACTCTGAAATTCTAACATTTTCTAAAGCAGCATAATGCTTTGTATGCCACATGAGAAATAAGATTTGGACTTGAAGCTTTCTTTTATAACAGTTCTTGAATACTGGAAAATGGTAAACTCTATAAATCAAATTCGAAATTTGCAAACTAATTTGAAATTTACACAGTCAGAGGTGATTATGTCATCACAGTTTCTTTTGGAAACCGAGATTATTCCGATCGCAATACGTGGTCTGCTTATTGTCATAAATGATGCTCAAGACAGCAGGCATAATTGCATAATTTTCAATTGTTGGTTTGTAAGGATTAGATTTGTTTTTATGAGTTGATCACGGACTGCTGTCAGTTAGAGAACCACTGAAAACCAACACTGGAGTACTGGACAGCTGTTTCATCAGTGGATGTGTACTGTCGATGATTCTCAAACTAGGATGAAACAGCTGGATGTCCAGTACTTCAGTGCTAGTTTTCAATGGTTCTCTAACTGATAACAGTCCGTGATCAGCTCGTAAAAAATGATTGCATAAAAATACATACTACTGGTTAATTGGGATGAGTAGTTTTATACTACTCACATCAACCAACAGTACTTATTGGTCAGCCAGACAGAAGTGATCTACACCCTGAACTACCGGTTTGCTTGTTTGTTGCTGGGCTCAGTATAATACAGTTGAATACAATAGTAACTCCCTCCATGAATATTAAACTAAAGTATTGCTAATTACACTGACAAGAACAGAGATATGGGTTGTTAGAAGAATGCACTGATATCAACTGTCCTACAATGTTTCCAAGGCTTGATGACATGTACTACTGATTAAGATGAGTCGATAAAAAACAGTAACATCAACCATCAAAGCCTGCCAGGAAGGTCGAGGTTATCTGAAGAGCAGACGGCAGTATCTCTAGTTTGGAATAAATCACAGTTTTTACTTTTTGAATGTTTTTGAGGTTCCTAAAGGAAGCTGAGGTAAGACTGACGAATTCAGATAGTGTTATTTGATTCAACTTCGTAAGTTGAGTCACTCTGGATATACTTACAAAGAACTTGGTGCTTGGATCATATCAATTTGTTTCATAATCACTACTCGTCAGTTGCTCATGTCAGTCGGTATATTTATGTATATGTTCAAATGCTCTCACCTCTTGACTTAATGATCCTAAGTTTGACCACCATTCGGGTGGTGCTTTCATACTGATGCGGAGTTCCAAATCATGAAAAGGAGCAGTTCGGAATTGACCAATTTTTATCTCTTCTCCAACTGGCGCTTATCCTTCATGAAACCGAACTTTAAATAATAAGTCATGCTAACATGTAAGAGTACTCAGGTAGAGTTACTGTTTAATGAAAACTTAGAAATGACATTCTTCCCAATTTTATTGTCCGATTTAGTTTATTTCTTTGTAGCTTACTAACAAGGTCATCTCAGGGCTTTTTAGACAGTAAATTAACTTGACTACTAATAATTTTATTGCCATAGAGTTTTCTTGCTCTCTAGTCTTATCCACTGAATTAGTGTTTCTTCTTTACTGCAGATGCAGTAACTCAGTTTTGGAGGTTAATTTTAAGAACGTAATGAATGTTCATCTGCCAGAATTAAGATGTGTAATCTTGTTAGTCCTTTGATGTAATAACCCCGCGAACAGTTTATCAAACATTCTTGCAGTATTATTTGATTGATAGTAGCGAACAGCGCGTCTCACTGGTAGAATAAACGTCAGCTATGCAAGTTGTCCTGGGTTGGGTTTTAGGCCAACGTACTCCTGAATCCTGCCTAGCCGTTAGGAGACCTAGTAAAGAGGAGAGGTTGGGCATGAGATCAGGAGTACCACTCCGTACAAACAAAGCCACAGACATGGTTAACTCACCATATCACCAAATCGCGAAGTGGCTAGCTGATATCCTCGAACCAGTTAAAAGACATATTACAATATATAGCCACAGAGATACATTTGACTTCATCGACTCAGTGAAGCATCTCAACGTGTCTGAAAGACAAATGATCTCACTGGATGTCGCCTATCTATTTACAAGTATCCCCCTAACCGAAACAATATGCTTCATTTGTAGTTACGTCGAAACCAACAACCTAGAAGTTCCTCTCCCTATAAACTACTTGAAGTAACTTCTTCTCAGATGTACGTTCAATATCCAGTTCAAATTCAATGAACAGTTCTATGTACAGAAAGATGAGGTAGCCATGGGGTCTCCTCTCGGTCCACTCCTAGCCGACTGCTTCATGGCGAGTCTCGAAAACAACATCCTCGATCCCTTGATAAGTCAACTGCACTTATACAAGAGATACGTAGATGATACGTTTATAATCTGTGATGAAAAATGTGATTTAGATTCTCTCCTAAAAACCTTCAACGCAGCGCATCCATCAATAAGATTCACCTTAGAATGCGAATCGAACAGCACATTTCCATTCCTTGATGAACTACTCACCAGGAGACACGACTGTACGATCCAAAGATCGATATACTGCAAGCCAACATGGACTGCACAGTTTGTCAACTTCCAGAGCTTTGTCCCACTGATCCGAAATAAAAGCCTGGTACGCACATTGTGTTCAAGGATTAGAAAAATCTGCTAGGAAGACATGGTAGAGAAAGAATTAAACTTATTACGTGAAACCCTGCTGGAGAATGGGTATCCACCAAGATTTATCGACAAAAACATGAAGGAGAAGCCTCCGGTGTCAAACAACGCAACTGTTCCTAAGAAGACTGTCTTCATGAACCTAGAATTCAAAGGTGATATCGCAGCGGAAGTTCTGAGAAACCGCCTTTCTAAATGTCTGAAGAAGACATTTGCAACAGCCACTCTGCGTATCACATTCTCCTGCAGACAGTTAATCCAGTCTAACGCTAAGGACAAGATACCGCTTTTGGCCACCTCAATGTGTATTTATCAATTTACTTGCTCCTGTGGAGCAAAGTATATCTGCCATACGCAACGTCAAGTCCACAAACGTATTCTGGAACACTGCCCAGCTTGGTTAGCCAGAGGAGAAAAGAAGAATAGCAACAGCTCGACCTTCGAACACCTTGTCATCTCCCGACGTCAAGTACCCCCACATGAACGCTTCACAGTGTTACACAGAGTCCCTCAATATTGTACAAATGGACTTCGGATACACCATCTGTACATAGCTGAAGCATTAGCTATTCGAGATCTGAAACCGGACCTCTGCATACGAAAGCGATACATACATTCTCTTGCCCTACCATGGCCAGAGTAAAGTTCTTACTACAATTTTGTTTCTTTCGTTTATTATACTGTGGTATCAAGAAGCCATTACTATTGGGACTTCAAGGCTGAATTTTGAAGCCGTTTGTCCCACTCAGAAGACAAAGAAGTGAAAAAAACGCAGAGAAATTCTTTCCGATTGAGACTTTTCAAATAAAGTCAAGGTGTGAGTACTCGAAGATGACATGTTAACAGAAATGAATCAATGTGAAAAGTAGCAATTACTTTTTCTGGTAGTATCATGAACTAGTTAAATGAAACGCATTTCGTACTCTTTCTGCAATTGGAATGTAACTTTGCTTTTAGGTTAATTTGCATTTCCCTTTGATTAATTGTGTTGAACCGAAATGTCCGGTCTCCATCGACATGTTGGCTCCTAGCATTGACGCTTCAGCGATATCTAAAAGATGAATTTGATATTAAGTTTTGATTAAGGATGACAGGCAGTGGAATCCAGTTGACTAGTCCAAAGTAGGACGAAATGAGAATTGTGAATTTTCGAAAGAATGGATTCTGAACAAAGAGTACTCTTTTCGATAACTTCATCATCAGGCTCTACAGTCATATATACACTATAGTGAATGAATGAATTAGTGTTATGAACGACATTAATGTCGTTCAAATAACATCGAGTCAGTAATATTGATAGATTACAGCTGAATAGCATCAACATAAAATAAACTGAATGTCAGAAGAATTAGGAAGGATAATATTGCAAATTAATGAGTTTATACTCCCTACTGAAGGCCGGCCAGGGCAGTAGTAGGGGCTGAACTTGTTTCTTTTTAACACAAACTACTGGTTGTTTGAGGCGAATTGCAATAGCCTCTGCTGTTTGGAGCATGCGGTACTTCGATGATTTTGGGAATTTATTAGGCACCCGGTAGATGATAGAGAAGGATTCTTCAACGCTGGCTT